CCCGGCCGACTCCGGAGCGCCCAGGGCGCAGGGCGCTGCGGGCGCGGGGCGCCGGGCGGCGCCGGCCCCGGGCGGCTCTCCCACTAGGGGTAGCTGTTGCCTGAACGCCGGAGCGCTCCCCTCTCGCCGCCTGCCTTGCCCGGCGCAGCCCCGGCCGCCGGGCGCACCCGTCCCGTTCGTCCCCGGACGTTGCTCTCTGCCCCGGGAACGTCGAGACTGGAGCGCCCGAACTGAGCCACCTTCGCCAACCCGGAGCGCCGCGGCCCTACTCACCCGGGAGGCTCCCGGACGCGTAAAGTGCGTACTTTCAACGGTGAATGTGTACTGAGGTTTTTAGGGGTGCGGGGCAACTCCCCAACAGCACCCGGCCCTGGCCGGTCCAGGCGCTGGAGACCTCCCGATCTCCCGCTGCGCACGGTGCGCTGCGGGTGACTGGGGTTCAGGGGCGGCGGCGCTGCGGGGCGGCGGGGCGGGGAGGTACCTTGACCCGGGGTCCCTGAGGCCGTGAGCAAGTTCTGCTTTGCTGCATCCTACAGTGTCCCCCAGGGCTAGGCCTGGGCCCCGAAGGCAGCTTCTGGGAGTTGCGCTGGTTAGAACGCCCTAGCAATCACAGGGACTTTTCTGGGATGACCGGGTCCCAGCCGGATCCCGCAGCTCCAGCCGCCCGCGTCCAGTGCTCTACCAACCCTGGTGACCAGCTGTCTTAACTTCCCGGGCTGGAGAGCGCGCTTGCGTCCCAGGCTGGGCTGGGCGCGGGCAGATCGCTTGCACCCAGCAAAGGAACTTGTCCTGTCCGGAGAAGCGCAGGTAGGCGTTAGCACTCTTCTCCGCGTTTTTGCGGTCCTGGCAGAACGCTCTGTCCCGGGAGCTCCCCGCCGGACCTGTGGCTGCAGCAGATCGAGCCTCAAGTGTGCGTGGAGACGGAGCTGGTGTGTGAATGTGGTTCTTCTCCCTCTGGGTCAGGGGCCTTTCTCTGCTCCTTAGGGCAGGGTGCACACCCCAGCACTTCCCACCTGGGGGGAGCCAGTTGGCTCTCAAGCTGCCCCTTGCCGCCCTGGCTGGGGTCTTAGGTGGACTAGGGAAATCTCCCTGAGCATACCTGGTTGGGGGGGGGGTCTCACTTTTATGCTTCCCCCTCACTCCAAGCTGGGCCCCTCTGAGCTTGCAGTTCCTCTCCTTTTGGAGATGAAGGAGGGGGTAAGAAGAGTCTCCTGCCTGGCAAGTCTGGGAGGGTTGGGGGGCTTCTGAGACCCTGTTCTGGGCAGGGCTAGCCATGGGTTGGTCTTTTCAGCCCGGGTTTTTCTCAGCTCTGGAGATACCAGTCTAGGGCATGTGTTCTGCTCTTTCTAACACAGGACCTGGGACAGGGATATGGGGCAAGTCCACCCGTTGCCACTGTGTCTTAGAAAAAAAGCTATCACCGGTTGAAAGAGCCTGTTTGTGCTGCTTGGGGCCTGCTGATGGGTGTGCCCATGTGCACACACATGTGTACTTCTGTGGCTGTCATGGCCTGGGGCTGATGTAAGTCCAGCTCCTGTGGGCCCCTCTGTGGGCCCAGCCGGCCAGTCACACCTGGACCACACTCCTTCCTGACCTGCTACATCCAGGAAAGCAGCTGCCAGCCTCTCTGGGGAGTGGCTGGTGTTTTGTGGGGGACAGGCTACACCTGCATCTCAGGGTTCCAGAGCGTTGAATGAGGCACCCAGCTCCAGCCCCTTCATGGCCTCTTGTGCAGGTGAGAACAGATCTAAGGTCCTGGTGATCCTGGGCGACACAAAACCTGGCTTGGTGTCTCCTACTCCAGTGCTGTCCTCCCTCCCTGTTCCAGGTGCCGCTCCTCACTTCTCTTCCCTCCCTGCCTCTCTCTTTCCAAGGCCCCCTAGGGCAGCACCACCAGCCAGTTGTAGCTCTTATCCTTCCTGCCAATTGCCCAGACTGCCCCGTTTTATCCCAGCTGCCTGGAACCAAAGTACTGGCCCAAGGTCAAGACCCAGCTGGGACCTGTGGGAGGCTTGGGCCTCAGTGAGTCTGGCAGACTTGTGTGGGGACCCTAGTGGAGCTGGGTGCTTCTCATGTTTTGGGGCCCAAGTGGGGCTTGCCCTGGGTCCTCCTGCTTGCCCTCTCCCAGCTCCAGCAGGGGGCGGACAGGGGAAAGAAAAGGAATGACCCATTGAACTGGGTCCATTTGGTGTCCCTGGAGCAACTTGGAGAGTGGCTGGGGGAGGGGAACCAGTGACAAGGGCCTGGATTGAGAGCCCTGTGGGTTATTGTGGTCTGTCTATGAGGGGGTGCTTCGTGGGTCTTGCACTAACCCCTTCCTCTCCTGGCCTCTGGGTAGGCTTGGCAGTCAAATGTCTCCCTTCCCTGAGGCTGTTGGGAGACTCCCTTGGAGCACAGTGGTATCAGTGGCTTCCATGTCTTTTTGCAGGGGGACCTCCCAGGCACTCAGAAGAGATGGTTCAACCCCCACACCCAGAGAAGAGTGTTGGAGAATGGACCTTGTTGCACCTGACCATGAGCCTAGCCTTCCATGGCCATCATTCTGTCTATCTCTCCTTGACTGGCCTGTGGACACTCCAGGGGCTTTTGTGTCTCTGAGCCTCTACCCATGCTGTTCCTGTAGCCTTTCTCTTTCATCTAGACTCTCTGTTCCTCCTTTTCCAAAGGAACAGGAGCAACCCCAGCCCCACACAGGGGAGCCCAGCTCTCCTGCCCAGGCTCTGCTTGCAGGATCACAACCCCTCTCCTTGGCCTGCTCACTCTCCAAGGCCTGCAGCCTCCCCAGTGGATGCATTTCTATCTGCCCTGCAGACCTGCCCCTCCCAGACTGGCTCAGCTGGGATCCCTTGTAGTAACTGCTGGGAGGCACCCAATAAAGCTTTGTGCACTGAGTAGCCCGTGTTGCGTGGACTTACTGAAAACACCAGGTTGGGGGAGAATTTCAAAATGTGTTGTTCTGCCTTTCTGCACTTGGCAGCAATAAGCAAGGTAGGGCGCGTGGGCCTCAGCGGGGGCTGAGTGAGGTCACCCAGGGATTGCTCCCTGGGAAGCCCCTTTTGGGCGTGGCCTGTAATGAACACTCCCTTCACCTGCCCACTTTGCCTCCACCCCAACCCCATTCCTCATTTTGTGCTGAGCAGATCACTGAGCCCTCTGGAAAGAAATGTTTACACTTTTTACTAGTTTGAAAGTGGTCTCTTCTATGCACATTTCTCTACCTCCACTCAAACCATCTAGGTGAGCACAGCCACCCTGAAGGGATAGGGTCGTGGGGGCTCAGGGCTGATATTGGAAATGTCCCCGATACACTAGGTTTCTGTTCCTCTGAGGTAGAATGGGGATGGTGGGGTCTGGGTGGTTGGGCAGCTGCCAGCCCAGCCAGGGCCCTGGGGCCTGGATGGAGGAGGGTGTGTTTTGGTAGCATCTGCAGACCAGAGGAGGTCTAGTGCCCCTGGCCAAGAAGAGGAAAAGGTCTAGAAGCTGATGCCTGCTACTGGTGCTCACCAACCCTAGGGCACAGGGACGGGGGGTGATGCTTCCAGCAGCTGCCCATGGGTGCCTGGGTCCTGTCCATGGACCCCCAATCTGACCCCCCGCAAACCCCTTAAACACACCACCTCACATCAAACCAGAATGATATTTCCTATTTGCCTACGCTCCCAGGCTGACTGGGGGGAGGGGCACCTTCCTGTTAGTATTTCTCTGGAAAGAGGTGGTGGGATCATCAGCTAGCAGACATGAATCCTGGGTTGGTTCCTTTTACTTTTAACAGGGATAACATCTTACTAATTGTGTCACCATGACACAAGGTAAATGTAGAATGTATATGCATGCAGAGGGGTGTGTGTGTGTGTGTGTGTGGCCATACCCATCCTTGTTCAGATTGGAGTTCTGACTCTTTCCCAGAAGTATGGAAGCCCAGAAGGTATCAAAGTAAGATGAGTGCATACAAACAGGAAGAAAGACACTTCCCACTTGGGGACAAAGTACCTCTACTGCATACACCACTCTGGCAACGGAAGAGCTGCAGATTTTGCCCTGAATGTCTTGGTGGTTAAATCTGTCTGGCTATGACACTTAAGGATCAGCAGATGAACCAGGCTGCCCAGCTGCGGCCGAGCTTGCCTGCGGGCTATACTGGTAAGTAGCCTGGGGCTCACTCAGTAAGAACTTTGAGTCTCAACCTTCTTGAAATGCATCTGCCTGGGACCCTGTGTGAGTTTATGGACCACAGGAGTAGAGAGACCTTCATTTTCCACTGCTCATGGCTCATAGCAGCCTGGATGCGAGCCATTCTGCTGAGCTGTTTGTCCTTTTGGGGTCAGGGAGTTGCTCCAGGCTCTGGTTTTTATCTGGTTCCTTGTAAGTATGTGGGGTGGGGTTGGTACATGTATGACAAGCACATGTGCTGATTTTTATTTTGGGGGCACATCTATGTGCAACTCAGAGCAAGGACCTGGAGAGCTGGCTGTGTCAGATGGCATCATGGGATGGTCCCTCTGCCTGAAAGTATGGAGGACGTCCTGTCCCGGCACTCTTCCTTGAAAGGAGTTACATACTGTGGCCTTTCCTCTTGGGGTCACAGAAGGCTCCTGGATACACGTGTGTGGGATCTTCCAGAGAGGGCCCAGGAACCACCGTGTCTATGTGGCTTTGCGTGGTCCAGTATGTGTGCAGCAACCTCTTTGCTGTCCCCCTGTCACTACCCAGCTGACAAACCACCTGAACGTCACACCTTTATGTCTTGACCTGTGAAATGGGTGGGACATGCCTTTTTACCTCCTGAGGGTAATAACGCTGAGGGCACAGGAACTCTGCAGGGAGCTGATGGCTGCTTCTGCCTATCTCAGACCGCACTATGAGCTGGTGTCACAGGCCTGGGAACTGCTGATTGCTCACATTTCAGCAGCTGATGTCCAAGGTCTACCAGCTTGGTCTACTTCTTTCCCTGACTTCAAAGTTCCTGCTACATCCTGCCAGATCATCCCAGAAGCCTATCTCTATGAAATTTCTTGGTCCCTAATAATTATGCTTTGTCAGGACCCTTGTAAGTTTACACTTGGAAGGACAATCCAAACTAACTTAAGCCAAGAAGCAACTCACTAGCTCTACAGTCCATGCAGAGCCCAGAAGGAGTGTGCTGTCAGGGATGGCTGTACCCAGCAACGTGGCAGTTACCATCAAGGCCCTGCCTCTCCTAACGTTCAGCCTGTGTCTTCTGTGGATTCCCTTTTGCTCTAATAGATTTCTTCAGGAACTCTGGCTTATGCAGCCCCAGGGGTGGTGGTGGTACAAATTCCCATAGTGGGACCCTAGGGAAGTGTCTAACTTGGAACTCAATGGTGTTTTTTTTGTGAATTGGACAGGAGGATGAGGGGAGAGGTGCTGCCCCCCCCCAATCCTAGCAGCTGCCCCTTCATGTGCCTCACAGGCCTGGACGCTCTGGGGCAAAGGGGGTATGTGACGCAGGCAGAGGTGAGGGCAGAAGTAGGCAAGAGCTAGAGACAAGCAGGTGTGTTGGGGTGCTGAGTCTGTTGGACACATGCCAAGTTGGTGGTTCTTAGAACCTCAGGAGATGTTCCACAAACTTGGCCACTGTGAGCCCAGGGTCCGGGGGCGGGTGGTAATCACAGAGCAAGGACTTCCCTTTGGGAATATCATAGCATTGAGAGTGATGGCTGTCAACAATCCAGAATGGCAACAGCTAGAAGGGTGAAGCCCATAGTCTCTGCACCTTGGTGGAGAAGTCAGCCAAACCCTGCATGGCACTGGGCCTGTGATGGCTCTACTATAAGGCAGCAGGTTCAAAGCCACTGTAGTGAGCAGGTGCAGAGCCTGGAGTTTCATGCACTTGGTAAATAGCATTTCCAGGACCTTTGTCCTGGGCCAGGATGCAAATGCCAACTGGCAGGAAACATTCCATAAGGGCCAGACCTTTCCATCAGAGGGGACACTTGACTCGGGGAATCTCTCCGACCTGCGCTCAGATCCTGTCTCTGTTGTCTAGAAGCTGTGTGGCCTCAGGTATGTTGTGAAACCTCTTTGGGCTATGGTCTGTGCATCTTTGAAGGGATGTAATGGTCCCCTCTCCTTGTGGGTCTATGGGAGTATGGAACACGGTAGGTGGGGCATGGCCTGCAGGAGTTGTGTCCGCGTACAGCCTTAGCCCAAGGAAGTTAAGATGGTTGCCCTCCAGGGAGTGCAAGGCTGGACGGGGTTCAGAATTAGGGACCAAGCCTGCACGTTAGCCTGCAGCAGGTTAGCCCGCAGCAGGTTAGCCCATCCTTATCACTTGCCTTGAAGCAACCTGGGCCCAGCAGGAGCAGACCCAAGCTTGGTCTGTCATGGAAGATGCTTCATAGGCCCTCAGGTCTCCAGGTCCTCTGCAAAGCCCACTCCATGTCCACCCTAGGATGGGGGGACTCTGCAGGGCAGGGGAGGAAGCTCAGGGACAGGGGTGGAGGTGAGTTTCCTCCTCACCAGAGACTCTTGGCTCATTGGTACAATGGCACAAGATACTGCACAGGGACCTAAGGAAATGATGATGTCCTGCTCAGCCCTGCCCCCTTGCTTTGTGGCCCCCCGGGGTCGGGGGTGCTCTGTGACCCAATGGCTACAGTGATGTTTGGACCTGAGATCTGCAAAAAATGTTTCTGCTCAGGGCTGAGGCTCAGAGGGCAAACCTGGAGAGAAAGAGAGAGCTGAGTGCAGGGACAGGCTGGTTCCTGCCTCTGATGCTTGTCTCTCTCTTTTTCTGGAAGCTTCTACAGGCCCCCATGGTTTGAGGTGCAGGATTGTGGGACTTGGGATGTGATGTGATTATAGTGACCTCACTCTGTGGACTTGGGCTGGCCTCTGGGTAATTCCCTGGGCAGAGGGTTGGAGTTGGGTGGGGGTGGGGCTCTCCTTGCTTCCCCTCCCTGCCTGGGGGTTGTTGCTGGGGGGGTGGTTTTATGTGGGACAAAAGCTGGTTTCAGTTAAGTGGTTCAATGTGCTAGAAAATACAGTTTTTCAGGATGGCGAAGTTATATTTTAGGAGCAGTGTGTGCTGTGTACACTGCCTACTGTGTGGGGTGGAGGAGTGGCAGGGATGCTCTAGAGCTTCAAGTACCTACTGTGTGCTGGGTACTAAGCACTGCCTGCAGTGTGGAGTGGACAGGAGAACCTGCTATGTGCCAGGTACTAAGTTCAGTGTGTTTTCATGTGTTGATGTGACAGTAGGGAAACTCTATGCCTTTTTCAAGGCCATGAGATGCAGGCTTTTCTAGGGAAGCCAAATCCTGTAAAGGACTGGTGCTCTGTGGCCTTTTCATCCACAAGCCACCCATCTGTCTACCTGTTTGCCAATTCATCTGTCCATCATCCATCATCCACCCATCCACCTACCCATCTGTCTGTCCACCCATCTGTCTATCCATTATTTATCCATATATCCATCCATCCCATATATCTACCTATTTGTCAATCTATCATCCATCCACCCATCCACTCATCCATCTATCAATCCATCCACCCACTTGTTAATCTATCTGTCCATCCATTCACCCATCCACTCATCCATCCATCCACCATTCCATCCATCCATCCACTTATCCACTCATCCACTTATCCATCCATCCATCCATCCATCCATCCATCCATCCATCCATCCACTCATACATCTACCCACTTACCCATCTATCTATCCACCCATGCACCCATCCACTCATCCGTCCATGCATCCACTCATCCACTGATTCATCCACCCACTTATCAATCTGTCCATCTATTCACCCATCTACCCACCCACCCGCTTACCTACCCATTTATCCACCCACTTATCCATTCATCCATTCACTCAACCATCTATTCATCCACTAATCTTTCCATCTATCCATCCATTGGCCCAGACCAC